TAAAAGAAAATGTGATCCATCAGACCAGGCAACCTTCTTCCATTGCTCCACAGTTATGAGCACTCTGACCAGTCTGTGGCTGCACAGCCCTGTAAGCAGCAAGTTGCGATGCTCTGTGTAATGGAATGGATCCCTTAATACACTTTTATTCCTGGTTGTTCGGCTGTCCTTACAACCCCCATTCATTTAACAAACCAACTATGTGGTCCCCTTGTTCGAACCTCCTAAATCACTGACCACCCCTGGCTGTTCAATACGAATTCATCATCAGTGCAAGGGTTTTCCCTGTGTGGCCGCCATTCGTATAACTGAACACACGTGCTCCAAGAATTGGCAGCCATTTTGTCTCCCGAACGCAGGCTGTGGTACATGGTCATCAACGGCATGGAACTATATCTCGGATACGTGACCCTGCGAACATCCGGGACTCTTGACCTGCTGCCCATCGAACTTCCCGAACAGTTATGAGAATGGTGTTCGGGAGGCATGAACTACCGAACAGGGGGAGCATTCGCTCCGTAACAGCCAGGGGGAGCATTTGTCGGTGTTCATGTGAGAACATCCGAAATATGACTGATTTGTTTTCTATGGAACTGTTTTGGGGCATCACCTCATGGCCAACTGGTCAAAACTTCATTGGAATGGCGTTCCCGAACCACCAAAGGGATCTGAGTTCTATTTCAACAAAGTGGGTGCTCAGATCCAAGCTAATCAGTGATATAACTTTTATGGGGTTCCTATGTTGTTATTTATTTTTAGGGTGAATTGTAATAATTTCTATGTTTCCTGTATCTGAGAATTAATTGAATTATAGTGTTCTCACTCAATTATCTCTCAGAAACAGAGGGAGGAAAACCCTTGTAATGTTGAGGTGGAAACCCCATGCTAGGGTTCAGTGCATAAAAGCCATGTGTCACCAAAATAAAATCAGTTGACTCCCAGAATGTGTTGTCTAGTTGCAGGGGGGAAAGGGTCTTGGATTATTACAGTGCTTCTTTCAGCTTCAAGGAAGGACTAGTGGAGATACCTATGCGTGGTATCGGAGCTCCGCTACACCCGGTGTGTTCCTACACATTTCTATCATGGGCAGCATAAAGTTTTTAACCTTCAATCTCTACATGCATCAATGAGCCTTGGGCGTCCATGACCCTGATGCTGGTTCACTGGTTGTCCTTCCTTGCACCACTTTAAGTAGGTACTAACCACTGTGTACCAGAAACACCTCACAAGGCTTGCAGATACTCTGACTGTCATCTAGCCATCACTATTTGGACCTAAACTGTAATTCAATTTCGAATATTACCACAAGACTTTAAAGCAGTCATACAATGCGTACAAGGTTATGATGGCAAGCAGAGAGTTTACACGTGGGGACAACAAGATTAATCGGCGGATAACCATGACAACCTGTTCAAATCTCTTCTAAAACAATATTTTCAATTATCTGCATCTTTTGAAAAAACTCAATTTTTTTTCCCCATGAAATTATTCAGAATTTGGAACGGCATGTATCCTTTTTAAATAAATATAAACAGTGAAGGATAGAAACCCATTTCTACAAAGTATAAAAAAAAGAGAAATTCTATCTGTAAATAGAGGTTTTATAGAGCTCAGATCAGCTTTTTTTCCCCCTAAATTGCACCTTTCGACACAGAACTTAAAGAAAGGGCAAACAGGAACTTTGTATCATTGATAAAGCCCTTGAAATAGCAAAACACATTTAACCCCTTAAGGACCAAACTTCTGGAATAAAAGGGAATCATGACATGTCACACATGTCATGTGTCCTTAAGGGCCAGCAGCATTGGGTTGGGTGTCTTGTCAGATCCTGGGTTCTATCGGTGCAGCGAGGTTTCTATGCTGGTGCTGTCATCACGGGAAGCTGATAATTGTTAGGCTGTAAGAGTCTTACAGCCTAACAATTATCAGCTTCCCGTGATGACAGCACCAGCATAGAAACCTCGCTGCACCGATAGAACCCAGGATCTGACAAGACACCCAACAGAAGGGGCTGCATTGGGAACTCTGATAGGGAGTAATATGCTGGTAAAATTCTGAAAAAAGTCTATTCTGATTTTTTTTTATTTTAATCCATTCAGTGACAATGGTTATGTGTTTACAGGGGCCCTGTCAGCACTGTGCCCATTTAAGTGATGAACCCCCTATAATGATCTCAGCATTGGAAGGAAGTGGCACCCTTTCACTTCCTCCTAGCAATCACAAAATCACACGGGAGATGCAGAGAGGAGGGAGCACAGACTCCAACTCTCAACAGCCTCAGGCAGTCGACTGGACTCACTGAAGCAATCCTCCTGAACCCTTAAAGGTAGGAAACAGGAGAGTGGCAAAAAATTTACATTTTACATGTGTGTCTGTATGGGTATCCGTGTATGTGTCTGCGTATCTGTATGTGTGTCTATATATGTGCTTCTATCTGTGTGTCTGTATGTATGCGTGTCATTCTGCGTGTCTGTATCTGCATGTGTGCTTGTGTGTGTGCATTTATACTACCTCCAACCTGAAGGGATTAATGTTATGGCTGATCAGTGTATATGTATGGTTTCACTTATTTCTCACAGTTGAGCACAGCTATCTCTCCTTAGTATTCTTGTCCGTTTAGCTTTTTAGATTGTAGCCATTCTGTTATCCTGACACTGCTCTTTCTACCATTAGGCATGTGATAGCTTGGTGTTTTATAGAAAATTATATATTTATGCAGTATAGAGATTAAAGAAAAAAAAAATAGGTCAGGTTACTTTGAAAAAAAAAAAAATGAACTGTAAAAAATGTTAATCAATTTCACAAGGATTTAAGAGATGGGTAGGTTTCCTAATTTAAAAAAATAAATAAAAAAAAATAAATAACTAGAAATCAAAGATTTACAATGTAATGTAAAAAGAACAATTTTCTGATAAGTAGCTTGTGAGTATCTAGAGGGAAACTCAGGTTAGATTATTCTTAAGTGATGTTGTCATGCAGTAAATTATAGAGGATTACCACTTGTCTACACTCAATTCATATTCAGCATTATTCCTGGCTCTAGATAAATACATATCCTGTATGATGCTCATCTGCAATAAATACAGATAATGGCAGGAGCCAAACTATGTTTAATAAGGCCAAAAGTCAACTGGCTCTGGAACACCAATCGTACAGTTGTCATTATTTGTTAAGTATACAAAATAAATAGGAATGGCACACATGCGTTGAACAATAATTTTCTATACTAAATGGCAAATAACGAATGTTTGTATGGTAAAGACGTGAGCAGCTGGTAATTTAGCCATTAATTGGCCTGATAATCTGCCAGGAATTTAAACAGAGGCATGTAAATACATTTTATGCAGAAATTGATCTCTTTGGCTTTCAAAATTGACTTGAAAATCATATGCTGTTAATACCGAGCCATCTGTTAAGGATTTGTTTCCGGCAAGTACATACAGAAGCGTGTGTGATGCAAACACGCGGTTCAGTTTGAAACCATTGCAGATTAGAAGGGGATTAAAGGATCTTCTGCCATTATGCACAGCGAGTGAGCTAGACTTGTGGTTCTCCATAGGTCATTTAAATAAATTCACCCATGCTCTTTGGCAAGTCCGAGGTTGCCTAAACCTGTGCAATAAAGTGTAGTTGATATAAAAGATTAGGGTGAGAGGGGTCAGAGTAAACATACAGAGGACTGTGCATTCCATTAATTCTAATAATCAACATGTTACTCAGCACTATATATATATATATATATACACACACACACACATATATACACACAC